CATCCTTGGCTATATAGGAACATCAAGGTCACAAGATTATCTCAAAAAACAAAAAGAAAAAAGACGATATAGAGTTAAGTAAAAAATTAATTTCACCTTTATGGCTAATACAACATTAAATTACTCTGTAACTTGTATGTTTTTGTCTGCTCTGTATTATTTGTTTGGACAAAGTTACTTTAGTAATGACACCAGACTAACCTGAAATAGCAATCTGATCATGTAACCTGGTTTAAAAGGAGTCCACTGCTCTTCAGGTCTGTATTTAAGAAACAAAACAAAACACTTGCCAAATTTGGCATAAATGGCATGGCTAATGCAGCCACAACTTTTTCTTTCTAGATTTAGCTGAACTATATTCTCTGCCAGGTACTGTTATGATTGTCACATTGTACTGTTTTTTAAACACACTAGTGTTTATGCCTTAGCTGTGTACATATTCCTCTGAGAATGCCTCCATTCTCATTTTATTTTTAAAGCTTCTACTTAATTCACTGTAGCAGAACCTATTATTCTCCTGGACTGCTACAGACATTAATCCACTCCGTATTAACTCTACCACTAGCATTTCCCTTGTGTATTTTGTTATGTAACAAAAACAAAATAGATTTTAAAAAAATAGATTTATCTCAAAAATCAAGCTAAAGAAAACAAAACATATAAATGTAAATTTACTCTAAATATACAACAGGCTTTAAGGTACTAACATTAAAATGTACACACAAATTACAGATGCATAGGGGGCTTTGTGCAAAAATTTTTTCACTGATAAAAGTTCAAGTAGAAAAAACTTGGGCACGCCTGATATTTTCAGTAAATTATCTATCCTACAGCCAGAGTCACAATTCTATCTCCTATTCATATACCTTGCTTATTCTCAGAATTCTCCTGGAAACACTGGCATTCATCTCATTTACGGGTGCTGAAATAAAGCACTTCCAGTTCCACTTCACTGCTATTTAGTGTCACCACCTAAATTTAGTGTCACTACCTAAATTTCTTCATGTTTAACATTTTGTTTTAAAAGGAATCAACTGAAATATTCAGAAACATACCTGGAAATATATTGCATGAGATTATTCCTATCTAAAGTCAAATACATTTATTGTTTTTACTGTCAAACACTGAGAGCACTGACATTTCAAGTTACTCTCATGAAATGAGCAATGAAGTCTGTATCAAAGTGCTTCTTACACCCTCTCTCCACTTCTACAGACAACTACACAAACCTCTGCTAACAGTTCCATAACCCTTCAGAATTTATCTTACACCCTCTCTCCACTACTACAGACAACTACACAAACCTCTGCTAACAGTTCCATAACCCTTCAGAATTTAGACTCCTCAGACATAGCTGAAATATCTAGAAGTCTTTTCTGATTCTTAGTCATTATGCTGAAAGCATTTTGTCATCTTTACTTTTAAACATGTTTGGTTGAGTACAGAGCTGTAAATCTCCAAGGAATATAAACATATTTACTTTTAAATCATTTTCAGGGTCAGTGGCTCAGCTGCTTCAGATGCTGGCCAGTACTCCTCATGACCCGAATTCCATCACCAGGCCCCACATGGTAGAAGGAGAACCAACTCCAGGATGCTATGCTCTGACCATATGTGATAAATAATAATACTTTCAATTAGTTTTATGGCCTTTAGAGTAAATCAGCACCTTCACTGTTAATTTGGCTGGCTGGGTTGACATGAATATGTTTTATTATGGAGAACGAGGATTTGTTGCCACTTATAAATTCTGAGTTAAGTAAAAATTGGTTTTCTTCATGTTTCAGGGTATTTGATGCAGGTCTCAGTTGTTAGGTGGCTCTCTCTTTTCTTAAGTGTGTGCACTAACTTGTGCATGCCCATGTTGGGGTCACAGGGCCAATGTGAGGTATGTTCTGTTGTTCTCCATTGTACTTTTTTTTTAAATGCAGGGTTTTCACTGAACCTGGAACTTATTATTTCTGCTAGATTGGCTGGCCAGTGAGCCCCACCTGTCTCCATCACACAGTACTGAGTTACAGAGGTGCACCTGTTGGGCATCTACACTCAGGCCCTCAGTTTCTACAGCAAGCACGTCCCCCACTGAGCCAACTCCCCAGTCTCTCTCTACTTTCTAAAGTACTCGCATCTACGTCAAACCCCCAGAGGCTTTTACTCTATTATGTTTCTGGGGTCCCCAACAATATTTTTCTTACAGTAAAACATTAATCTCAGCCTGCAGACCCCTGAGAGTTCCCAAGATTCTTCCAGGAACCTACAAAGGTCAAAATTATTTTTGTAATAACACTAAGATATTATTAATTCTAGAACACTGACACTTGCACTGACTGAGCAAATGGACTGATGGGTAAAAATGCTGGGCTTTAGTAAAAATCAGCAGTATCAGCAGCTTGGGGGAAAAAAAAAGACTTAAGAATTTTTGATAGTCAGGCAGTGGTGGCCCACGCCTTTAATCCCAGCACTCAGAAGGCAGACACAGGCAGATCTGAGTTTGAGGCCAGCCTGGTCTACAGAGTGAGTTCCAGGACACCAGTGCTACACAGAGAAACCCTGTCTCTAAAAGCCAAAAGAAAAAAGTGTTTGATGAAGCAATAAAGTTAAACCTGAGCCCTGAATCTTAATAGTTTAAGAGAAGTAGAAAACACAGGATTTTTTTTTCTTATCAAATTATTTAAACAAATGAGTTGTAACAGGAACTAGTTTTCCCTTTTCTAATACCACCAATTCTCTCCCGTATCCCCAAATACTGGTCAACCTTCACTGAGTTCATTACCTCACCAGACAACCACCCCACGCAGCCTACAGTAATGTGGTTTCTGATTTGACTGAGACTGTTCTTGTTAACGCCATCAAGAGTCTCCTGACTACAAAAACAAGGGACATGCTTTGGCTCCATGGCATCTGACATCACTAGCATTCTTTACTGGAAATTCTAACAGTGATGTCTAGATGTTTCTCTTCACCTTCCTAACCATTCTTTTCTTCTTTGCTGACCTGTATTCTAAACAGCTAGGTCTGTATGTCCCACTCACTGCCTATAGGACACTGCAACTTACATAATGTGAAGAGATCACCAACAATATATCCTTATTAACCATCCAAATATTTTTCTCTTCCTCTTAATGACTTGGACTATAAGGCCATTACCAACTCAAGCCAGAAATATGCTAGTCATCACAAGAATGCTACTTCTATATATATTTTAACTTCCCGACATCTCCATCCTCACAACAACTGATTTTAGGCACATATAATTTCTAAAGCAGCAGGTCTCCCTCCATGTATGGCCATTTTTACATTGTTTACAAATAAACAATGATTCACTTGAAGTCTGAGCTTAACTGGACACTATCCAATATACAACCTAAGTTGTTATTTTGTACACAAAGGGCCAGTTTTTCAAGCCTAACCTCAGAGGGAGCAAGGGCTTCAAAATCGACTTGTTATAATCATCTAGAACTGTACTTTTGCCCAATATGTCCATGTTCCAACCGAGTGTACTTACTTACACAATGCTATGCTGCTTCAACTTTTCCTCCCATTGAACATAAGATCCTCTTGCCTAGAAAGCCAATCTGTATCCACCACCCGATGAGTGAGTATTCATCCTTCAAATGTTCTTCCATCTATAAAGTCCTCCCTAAGATCCCTTCCTGTTTCATCTACTACACTAAACAAGTAGCTTTAGTACAGAATGTACCATATGGCGTCTTTATATACTCCACTCCATCCCTGAATGATCGTGAGAAAAAAGATCATTTATTAGTGTCTGTTTTGCTGGTGCTTAGCACAGTGCTGGAATATACCTACTCAAATACTTGTTGGGTAAATATTTACCACACCATTAACACAATGTAGTCTTACTACAAAATTACTGTCTGCATAATAAAAAGCCTTCAAACTGAAAACAGCATCTCCTTAAGAAACTTAAAGATAATTTCAAAATACAACAAAAAAATCACCCCTACTTTAAAATACTCAAGAAAAAGTTATAAACTGCCTCTGCATTTAACTGAAAATCTAAATTATTAAACTGAATTGTAACCTTCAATGACACTAAATGTAAGGGTTTTTTTCTTGATCTTTACATTTCTTTGATTTCTCTCCTATAATTTTTGCTTCTGGAATTAAAATATTCACTTTCTTATTAACAGGTTTGTACAAAGCCAAGTGTCTTGCCAGTTGCAAGAAACCGGCGGCATTCCAGTTTTCATAAAACTGGAGGCATACAGTGTAAAAAAAAATTAGAGTATCATCGGAAAACGTGAAGTTCTATGTTAAAGCACATGTAGGACACTGCAAAGTTCTTAATTTTCCATCGTCAAAATGAATTGTGAAGGAGTTAAACGGTACTGGCCATAAAAACACAACCTGACTGCACACTGGGCAAACACATGCCAAGCGCTCAAAGTTAACATTGTTAACACCGGCACCGAACTACAGCGGGCCGCGCAGTGTGAAGGAAAATCGCAGTAAACCAGCTTCAAGCACCAAGGTCGAACTCTAAGTCTCCTTTGATGTTAATGATTGTTTGCCAGAGAAGGGCTGGAAGCTGACTTTCCAAGGAGGGTGTTGCCAGAAGTAAGTAAAAACAACCTCGACGTCCACGGCTGGCAAGGTACTGAACGGGCCGAGCAGCGGGGCGCGCTCGGGGCCAGGCCCTTGCCTCCGCGGCCCCGACCACACTATTTTTAACCCAGCGCAGGGCCGGCCTCGCCCGCGGAGGGCGCCGGCCTCGGGGCGCTCGGTTTCGGTTGGACCGCAGCAGGAAGTCCTGGCTTCCTCTGCGGCTGCCGGTGGAGCCCGGGAGAAAAGCGAGCCGCTCCCACGCCTCCGCGGCCAGGGGCGGCCGGGACGAGCCACGCGCACCGGCGACGGGACGGCGGCCGCCATCTCCGCCCCGCGGCCTGCCAGCGCGGGGCTCTTCACGGCCGGGTCCCCGCCTCCCCCGGGCGCCCCGCGCTGGGCCGGGCGGGGTCCGCGTCGCCCGCTGCACTCACCCACTCCAGGACCTTGATGAAGCCGAGCGGCTCCTTGAGCGGGCTGAGGTTGATCTGGAAGGCGGACATCCTCTGAGGGAAAGGAGGGAACAGAGTCAGGACGCGGGGCGGAGGAGGGGAGCAGCGCTACCGGAGCAGCTCGGCGGCGAGGACGGGAAGGCGGGGCCGCGGGCTCCGGGGCGGGGCCGGGGCGGGGCTGGGGGCGGGGCGGCCGAGGGGGCGGGGCGGGTGGCGGTTGAGCGTCACTGGGGAGACCAGAGGGCGCGCCCGTGAAGGCGAGGCTGAGAGGCGGCGGGCAAGGGCTGGCTCCTCCCCCGGCCGCACCTGACTCAGCCGGCTGAACCGCTGGCGAACTAAGTAAGCATTGGAAGCCATGCCTGCGCTGCGCCCCGGTCCCTGAAGCCCAGGCCCTGGCGCTTTCTCCACAGCGCACGCGCTCCCTAGGCCCCAGACTCCCTTCCGGTCTTCGCCAGCGCGCGGGGGTGGGGCGGGGGTGCCTGCGCCTGCGCAGCGCGACCCCGGCGGCGTTCTCGTTGCTATGCCCTTTTGTGGCTGTTGCAACCCGCCCCGGCAACGCCCTCCTGTCTCAGGGCCTTCACGATGCTCTCGGCTTTTGGACCGATTTATGAAGTGTGAACACAGATAACGCCTCGCTCCAAAGCTCGTGTGAAGGGCCCTTAAATGAGTTATTGCAAAACAACAGATGTCTGGCGAACCTGCCTGTGTAAGGGCGCTTGAAAGTATGATTCACCAAACATTTCTGCGGGCATTGCTTTTAAAAGTTGTTGGAGCCAGAGTAGGAGAAGGCATGGCTTGGCAGATGTCACAGGGATCGCGTCTCCTATCCCGGTCTGGCGAGGCCCGCATTGGGGGCAGGTTTTGTTTGTTTTTGCTTCTGTAAAGTCGACTCTTCTTTCACGATTTACCTTAGGTAGCACTGCCTCCTGCCACCAGAATGGGAGGCCAGTCTAGTCCTCTCTTGTCTGGCTTCCTCAATCCCCTGAGTTTTGGAGAGCTGGAATAGTGGCCTGTTTTCATGCATGGTAAGATGGTAATAGCAAAGGAAGGCAGAGGTTTGCCACGAGAGGATCCCAGGACCGGCTTCCACGTACGTCCTTGTATTTACTCAGTGTTCTTGAATTATTCCATCAGAATTGAGCACTACTCGTGGACATCTGCTACCAAGCTAACACTTCCTCCTCCCTCACTCTTGTTTCTGTGAATTCCACTCCTCAAGCCTTTTTAAAAAGTTCTTTTCTGCCGAGGCCTGCTGGATAGGCACCCAGGAGTGGATTATTAGCTTTTGCTTCAAATAACAAATATTCAAAGTAGACTCAATGTAATTTCAAAATCAGATAGATACTAACAGAATGGAAGGGTGCACACCTTGCACCTTCACAGTGCTGAGAGGCTCAGAATAATTTGTACCCCATGGTTCGTTAGTCCTGTCACCAGTCAGTTGGCTGAGGTTCGTCTGAGTGCGTACGTGGATAGGAATTGTGGGCAGGCAGGGAAGCAGCAGCTGGTGTGGTGCAGCTTTCCTTTCTTGGCGGTAGGCAGCAGTGCCTGGTGGCTGTACCCAGACAGGAGCAATAGCAACTGGCCCCCTCTAGTGCTCAGTCCTCAGAACTTACCCTGTAGTGGTGTTGGTAAATCTAGGACGCTGAGTTTCTCAGCCCTTGGCCATTCTTGGCTCAGGGTGAGACCTTTGGCCCTGAAGGCTTACCAGGTCTCTGGAACTCTTGTGGTGACCAGGGCCTGCCCTTTCTCTTCTCTGTCCCTTACAACATTTTATTCTTTGCTCTTGGCCCCCCGCCTTTTCTTTTTCTACCCCTTCAGCCTTTCTTCTTCCTGCCTGATGTGTCTTGAATGTCTCAGCTGCTCTGGCTGTCACATAGCTGGCTATTAACCCCTTCAGTGACTCAGTCACCTGGACTGCTACACCTCTGCCACTGTAGGTAGACACAGGGTACCTGCTACTGCTGCTGGGGTCATCGTGCAGCCACTGCTTCTGTCTCTGCTGCTTCCTCTCTGTGTCACCTCTGGAAGTGGTCAGGGCCACTTCAGAGAGGAGTTAACACACTGGAGTAGCTCTGACTCAGCTAACCGAGTGAGCCTGAACATCCTTCTTATGCAGCCTGAGGACTATGTCCTCCAGTCCAGCTGGTTTGGACCAACCACAAGTGCTTGTTTTAAATAAAGCATACCCATCACTTTGGGCCAATCACAGATTTGTCTCTTAGCACCAGTCAAGTGGTCTCTTCTCTAGACCCCCCAAGGAATTTCTCCCTGTCTGGTCATGGTAGGGATGATTGCAGGACCGTCTAGAGTTCACTGAGGCTTGAGGTAGCAAAAAATCTGATATCAACTGTTTCAAACAGCCCTGCCTTGTGCCTCCAAGAACCAGAGCAATCAGCTACAATCTTTGTATACTTTGTCCATAGGCTGGCATGAGAATAGTTCTGTTGGTTATTAAACAGACACTTGTTTTGATGAAGGGAGCCAAATTGCTCCATTCTCAGTGTCTATGCTAATTTATAGGAGAATGAACGTCGGAAGGAATATTTTAAAATATAAACTTAATGAACATATTTGTACAAGTATTGTAGTGGTTCCTATATCTGTCTTAGTCCCAGCTATTCAGGTTTAGGAAGGAGGTTGAGTCCAGGGGTTGAAGTCTAGTCTGGGTTACATAGTCAGACCCTGTTTCTTACTTCCTTTTGAGACAGGATCTCACTATATTTTTGCTCTGGCTAGCCTTGAATGCAGAGGTCCACATTCCTCTGCCTCCTGAGGGTTGGGATTAAAGGTGTGTGCCACCAGCCCTGGCTATTTTTTTATTAATTTATTTCATAAACTAGTAAGTCAGTCTTTTGTAGTTCTCTGGGTTTTTTTGTTGTTGTTGTCTGTTTTTTTTGTTGCAGTTGTTTGTTTTTTTCCCACTTACTATAGTCTCAGGAATTAAGATAGGATGGGCCTTAATCAACTTGTGAGCTGTAATTTCCTCTCTCCTCCTTTTGTCTCCTTTCTCTCCTGCTTATTCAAACGCACCAGAGGAAGATCTTATTACAGCTTCTTAGGAGATCAAAATGCTAGAATGTAATCCTTGAATTTTAAGAGGGTCCCTTTATTGGTCCTGTGCCATTAGTTTTTAAATATAGAGACCACATAGGGTGAGCAGAACCGTCAGATCACTTGTCAGGATTCATTTGCAGGATCTCACTGAACAGAACCACAATGAAGCATAAGCCTCCAGTCACATATAGCCTGGTACTGCTTGCTGCCTGGGACGGAGCTGACAGTGGCTGGCAGAGACAGTGATATCTGAGTGGTTAAAAAGATAGCTGTAGGAGTCTTTGAATGCTCCCACAGCAGAAGTGGTAAGCATAGCATTTTGTGAGAGCATAACTGTTCAAATCTAGGAGGACTGTTGCAGATGCTGGTGACTCTACATTGGCTGCAGCTGCATTTCTTCAAACCAGAGGAAAGGGCCAGGAACTCTGTGCACAGTGTATTCCTCTTCGTTTATTTTTTGAAAAAGGTTTATTTCTCTTATTTATTTGTATTATATGAGCCTGCATTGTATATGTGTACCACATGAGCTCCGGATCCTGTGGAAACCAGAAGAGGGTGTCAAAAGTTAGATTCCCTTGGAACTGGGGATACAGATGGCTGTGAGCTGTCATATGGGTGCTAAGAATCAAACCTAAGTCTCTCGCAAGAGCAGTAAGAGCTCTTAGCCACTGGCCCATTTCTCCTTTATGAGGGAGGTTATAGAATAGTGCTTGTAATGCCGAATTGCCCTCTCTGAAGTAGTGTCACGGGTCTATATAGATACCAAATAACTTGTCACTGTTTTGCCTTCTCTACGCTGTTTACAAAACATTTTCTAGATGGTGACACTGGGATTTAGAGATGTTCAGAGGCCAGAAAGGATGGTACATTTAGACAGAAATTGGGTAGCTAGAATATACTTTTGTTTTTCTTGATGGGTATACAAAATTTCTGGTACCTTACTGGCAAAATGAATCTTTGTAATTAATTCCCAACTAATACTTTTTTTTCCCTAAAAAGTGTTTTATGTAAATGGATGTTTCCCTGTCCCAACTTCCCAGTTCCAAATAATCACTCAGGATTATATTAATTACAGATGCTCGGCCGATAGCTCAGGCTTCTTACTAGTTAACTCTTACATTTAAATTAACCCATTTCTATTAATCTATGTATTGACATGTGGCTCGTGGCTTATTCCCTCTTTTTTTTTTTTTACATGTCCTGCTTGCTCAGTGGCTGGCTGGCTGGTATCTCCTGACTCTGTCTTCCTTCTTCCCATCATTCTCAGTTTGGCTTTCCTGCCTACCTTCCTGCCCAGCTACCAGCCTGTCAGCTTTTTATTGACCAATGAGAGTAATATATATTCATAGTGTAGAAAAAGATTGTTCCACAGCAGCTTTGAATGCATTAGCATCAAGTTCAAAACCCACCCAAGTTTTGTTTATATACACAAATACTTTTTCCTTTAGTGGATTCCACAATAATTTTAGAAAAAATAACCGCATGCATGTAATTGTGCAATAAATTGATTAAGTAGGCTTATATTCTGGATAGTTTTATGTCAGCTTGACACAAGCTGGAGTCATTTGGAAAAGAAACCTCAGTTAAGAAGCTAGAACAGTTAAGAAGCCTAAGAACAAGCCTATGATGCATTTTCTTTTCTTTTTGGGGGCTTGGGATGAAGAATAAGACAGGGTCTCCTGGAACTCAGGATATGTAGACCAGGCTGGCCTCAAACTTACAGAGATCCTCCTGCCTTTGCCTCTCAAGTTCTGGGATTAAAGATGTGCACCACTATTCCTGACTTCTGTTTTCTTGATTGTGCTTCCTATTGGCAGTGCCATCCCAGGGCTGGTAGTCCTGGGTACTGTAAGAAAGCAAGCAGAGCAAGCCATGGGCAAGGCAGGATAAGCAGCACTCCTCCATGGCCCCTACATCAGCTCCTGTCTCCAGGTTTCTGCCATTTGACATCCTGTCCTGACTTCCTCTAATGATAAATTATACTGTAGAACTGTAAGTGAAATAAACCTTTGCCTCTCATAGTTGATTTTGGTCATGGTGTCTTCTCCCAGCAACCAAATCCTAACTGAGGAAACTTGGTAAATCTCAAAATAATTAA